AATAATAATAATAATAATTATTATTATTATTATTATTATTATTATTATTATTATTATTATTATTATTATTATTATTATTATTATTATTATTATTATTATTATTATTATTATTATTATTATTAATAAATTAATAATTAATATAAATATTATACACTAGATAAATATTAATATTTATTTACCAATTGATATCTTAATAATAATAATTAATAATAATTTTTAAATAGTATACAAAATTATCATAAAAAATATTTTAATATTAATTAATTTATAAATATTTATATTTAATATTTTTAAGTGCACACGTCAATAAATAAACTGTCAAGATTGATTTAGGCTTGAATTAAGATCAGATGTTCGAGCTTCACTCACAAAGATTGACCGAGTCTTCAATCAAGCATGGAACGAACAGTGGTGTCCAATGCTGAATCAACATTGAGTGACAGTGGTATAAAGACTGCTTCAACACTGGGTTACCCAGGCTGGGCGTTCAAGGCTCAATAAATCTTCAATCCATCGTCAGCATTGGTCTTTCGCGCCTGGGAATTAATTGAATAAGATTCCAAAAATATATTCTTCAATTGTAAATATTCTAAAAATATTTTTCACATACAATTCTTTTTGTCTTCAAAATCAAAAAACGATTCTTTTTATAAAAATCAGTATTAAAAAAATATTTTTTCAAATAATAAGTAATGTAAATAAATGACAATTTATTTCTTCGAAAAATAAAGAAAAACCACTGACGTTAAGTATCGAAAAATATTGACGTTAAATATGAAAAAAATATTAATTCTTCTTCCTTTTTTTTAATACAAAAATTAATTTATCAAATTCACCTTTCACACAAGAAATCAATGCCAAGCTTCACGGACTTTTACACAACCATTAAAATATATTAATTTCCTTCATTTATTTATTTGTTTACTTTCTTAAAAAAAATTATTTCCTTTTCAGAAACTTATTTCCTTATACAAAATATACGTTCACATTCACTAACTCATACAAATACATTTGTGTACAGGTAAAAAATTATAATAATACACAAAATAATTAAAAAACGATTAAAATTTTTGCAAAAATAAATCAATGCCTTTACAATATCCAGACTCTATAAATAAATATGCAACACAAGAAAAGAAAAAAAAAGGAAAGAAATTTTAAGTCACGTATCCGGATTATTGTATACAACCAACAGGGATAATAATCTTGTAAATCAATCTCGCGGCATTAAGGAGACATTAAATATGACCTTGAAATTATTCAACTGATGATATATATTGCAAATTTTCAGGAGAAATATCAAAGTCTAAATAGTTAAATACAAATACTATTTTATCCTATAATTTTTGCTGCTTCCTTTTTTTCCTCCTCTCTCTTTTTTTTAATGTCACACACACAAAACCTCATTTCTAAGGTAAAGATTCACTCAGCAACCAGTCGTCATCAAAGAAGCATTCTCATGACGTAACAAAATTAAATGATTGTATCTGCTGCAGCATTAAAAATCGGATGAGAAGAAAAAAAGAAACATTTTTTAAATTTCTAAACGATAATAGGTGTCTGTGTCTGGAACACAAGGGGAATGAACTTTGTTTTTTTTTTTTTGTTTTATTTTAGTGGGAAAAATAATCAATATACCTTATTTTTTTTGCAAAAAAAGTATCAAATCCTCTTCGTTTCTCGACGAGAAAAAAATATATTATCACATAAAATTTTATTTATGAAATAATAAAATCTTTTTAAACTACTGATAAAACTTGAAAAGACTCAGAAAAAAAGTTGAATTTATTTTCAAAAAATTTCAAATTTTTTTAACAACTGTGTGAAAAAAAATATCTATGTACGTGAAAAAGATCACGTACATAAAATTCTATTTTTTTATTCAATAATAAAATATTTTTATAACTAATAAACATTTAAAAGTCATTTAACATTTTAATTAAAAACTTTTTAAATGTCTTGAATTTTTAGAGATTTTATCTCTAATTTCACTTCTTTCACGGAAGTTTTTATTATTTATTGTTCTTTTTCACGGGAGTTAAAAAAAAGTTCAGAAAATTTTTTTAAACAAAAAATCGATAAAAAATTTTCTTCTTTTTATTTTCAAAAAAATATTTTTCGACGCTGAGCGTCGAGTCCAGTCATAATTTAGTCGACGCTAATTTTAGGGATCCAATTTCTAAACTTATTGAAATAAAAAAATTTTTTCTAAGAAATTTCTAAATGTACGTTAAAATTATTTCAAAGCATCGATTACAAAATCATCTTCTCTAAGACAATGCGTGTAGAAAAAAAAAACAATGAATATTCTCGCCAAGTTTTAACTGTGACAAAGTCACCATGTATATCACGCACAAAGTCATGACGTTGTTATACGTGAAACGAATGCAATTTTATACTGTCTCTTAATTTTTTTTTTCTTTTAAACAAATTGTATTAAATTTCAATTTAATTCTCAAATCTTCTTTTCTAGTGGCAAATCTCTATTTAAAATTAAAAATTATTTCTACGAAATTAATTCAATTATTCGATTTATGTTATTAAATATTTTTAAAAAATTGTACTTTTTTCTTTAATTTCTTACTTGACGAAAAATACAAAATTTATTTCTGCTAAATAATGTTTATTTGGGTAAAAAAATTAAATTTGCTTCAGGTGCAAAAGTTCTTGATTCAAGTACAGTTTATTTTTTATTTATTTATTAATTGTAATTTCTCTAATTGTAATTTATTTACAATTACCACTATTTATTTATTACTTTTTATTTACTTATATTTAATTTATTTGTAATTTTACTACAATTTATTATTATTTATTTATTACTTTTCAATTTTTCATTCACTTATAATTATTTATTTGTAATTTCCTCTATTTACTTATTTAAATCACAACCCTTAATCCAAATAATTTATTTCATATTTTTATTTTATTTATAATTTATTATTTATTTGTAATAATTTTTAAAAATTTCTATAGGTATGTTTATTACTCATCATCTTTATTTATTTATTATTTTTATTTATCGCAATTTATTTAGTTGTAATTTATCATTTTCTTACAATTCGTCATTTTTTATTTATTTAAAATTATTTATTGTATTTTTTCAAAAATTAATGTTCCTAAAGTGTAGAACGTTTAAATGAACGACGACATTTTTTCAATTCTTTTAATTTGTATTTTTTGTTCATAAAAAAAATTATTTTGTATGTCAACAAATTGATTCTTAACTAAATAAATATTTAATTTTTGATATTTTTTTGCATAGTATTTTGGAAAATATTTAAATAAAAAAAAATTTAGTTCATTTGAACGTTGAAAACTTAAAAAAAAAACAAAATACTATAAGGAATTTAAAAATAATACATATTTTCGCAGCTAAAAATTAATTAATTTAATATAGAAAATAATATTTTTTAATAAAATACAAATTGAAAGAAGTAATAAAAATGCACCAAATAAATAAATAATTAAATAAATATAAATTTCGTTGTTTATTTAAATATTTCAAATTTAGGACTATTATTTATTTATGTATCTATTTATTAAATTCTTTGGATCAATTTATTTATTATTCTTTCATTATTCTTAATTTTGTTAAATTTTATTCGGTTAATTTGAATTCCATTAATTTTTATATTGTTTAAGTATAAATATTTATTCAATTGTCAAGTAATACCGATTTTTTATGCCAAATGTTCAATTTAAATTATAGAATAAATTAATACTTTAATAATTAATTTATTACTTTATTTTATCAATAAAAATTAATTATTTTAAATTGTAAAAAATAAATAATTAGTTATAAACATTATTTGAACGAATTAAATTGAATTTCTCTTAAATAAATATAAATTTCGTTGTTTATTTAAATATTTCAAATTTTGGACTATTATTTATTTATTGATTTATTAAATTGTTTGAATCGACTTATTTGATTAGTATTCTTTCATTACTCTTAATTTCGTTAATTTTTATTTGATTAATTTGAATTCCATTAATTTTTAAATTGTTTAAGTATAAATATTTATGCAATTGTCAAGTAATACTGATTTTTTGTGCCAAATGTTCAATTTAAATTATAGAATAGGTAAATTAATACTTTAATTATTAATTTATTACTTTATTTTATTTTAACAATGAAAATTAATTTTTCTAAATTATGAAAAATGAAAAAATTAATAAAAAAAATTATTTGAACGAATTAAATTAAATTTGTTCCAAATAAAACAATTATTCGCTCAAATATATTTCTGTTAATTGCTAAAATGATTTAATAAAATTTTTATTTGATTTTAACTCTTGTACAATTATTCTCTTAACAAAAATAACCAATTATTTAAAACAAATAAATTTTCTCCATTGTAATCAAATATTCATAACTGCATTTATTTAATTATTAAACTAATTATTTTTTTTTAAAATGCCTATTTAATAAAAGAGACAGTATATTTTGGAATTAAAAAAACAATTAGATTTTTAAGACCAAAAAAGAGTTATTGTAAAAGTAAAATAAGTTCAAATATAAAATTTCTGAAGACAATTTTATTTAGTTCAAACATTGTATTAAATTAGTCTTTACTAAAAAATTAATCACAATTATTCATAAATTATTAAATTAATAAATTAATAATTAACTTAGTTTATAAATTAATAATTAACTTACTTCATAAATTTATAAAGAACAAAAATTAATTAACAAAGAACAAAAAAACCCCCCAAAAAAAATACAACAGAAGAGAATAATAGTTCCAATAAAAATGGAATTTTCAGAAAAAAAATAATTTTGGCATAAATTAGAAATTTTAATTCCTCAAATCTTCGCCAATCATTTAATTAGATTCAATGTCACGATTACATACGCACAACAAACATACACACACTCTCACACGTGTGCAAAATAACTCCCAGTTATACGAAGGCATATCTCCACCGAATCCTATATAAACCAAGTGTTACTGGGTCTTCTTTGTTTGTACGCCTCTTGAACAGGACATGAACAGTCAACATGTCTCGTAGGAAAACATTTTTATTAATTAACATTTTTCTCTTATCAACAATAATAAATCTCGTCAAATGTCAACAAAAATCATACGAGCAAACATATCAAAATCTCTTTCAAAATGATGGACAAATACCATTTTTGCAACATTTATTAAAATTAGGTGCCGGTGCCCTAAGATTTTTAACCGAAGGACAAGAGTACATGAATAGAGAATTACCCGACATATCGCCGGAGAAAAATGCACTTTTCGATTTTATTGTCATTGGCGCTGGCAGTGCGGGTGCAACAATGGCATCGAGACTCAGTGAAATAGATAATTCCAAAGTGCTACTAATTGAAGCTGGACGGAGTGAGAATTTACTGATGGACATACCTTTGTTAGTGAATATGTTGCAATTTAGCGATGATATTAATTGGAAGTACAAGACGGAAAAATCGGAGAATTATTGCTTGGGTATGAAGGATAAAAGATGTAATTGGCCCCGGGGGAAAGTGATGGGTGGTAGTAGTGTTTTGAACTACATGATAGCTACCAGAGGGGACCCACGTGACTATGACAATTGGTCGAGGTTAGGAAACAACGGTTGGTCGTATGAAGAGCTACTTCCTTATTTTAAAAAATTGGAGAAATTAAATATACCGAAACTGAGAAATGATAGTGAAATGCATGGTACTGATGGTCCTTTGGACCTAGCATATCCTCCGTACCATACTCCGTTAGCAGAGGCTTTTTTGAAAGCAGGCCTAGAAATGGGTTATCCACTAATCGACTACAATGGTCGGGAAAGAATTGGATTTTCCTACATTCAAGCGACGTTAAAAAACGGAGAAAGAATGAGCACGAACCGAGCTTACCTCCACCTGGCGAACGGCAGGAAGAATCTCTTCGTCACAAAAAACAGCATCGTGGAAAAAATCATCATAGATCCGAAAACAAAACGAACTTTGGGTGTTCAATTCAAAAAGCGAGGCGTCAGCAAAAAGGTCTACGTGAAAAAAGAAGTGATCCTTTGTGCCGGAGCAATTGGCTCACCCCAAATACTCATGCTCTCGGGAATAGGCCCTAAAGACCACCTCCGAGAAATGGGAATCCCCCTCATTAAATCCGCACCCGTTGGCGAAAATCTAATGGACCACATTGCCTACGGTGGTCTCGTATTCCTAGTAAATCAATCAGTCGCCATTCTACCAGAACTCGTCTCAAATCCCGTACAACCATACATTCAGGACTATCTCAACAGACGCTATGGACCACTAACAGTTCCCGGTTGCGTAGAAGCCCTCTCCTTCATGGACGTCGATAAACCCACAAACATCGACAGTTTCCCCAACATCGAACTCCTCTTCATTGGCACATCACTAATCGCCGGCGGTGGTTTCTATCAAAACGTCGGCATTTCCGAAGAACATTGGCAGGGGATCTTCAGTAAAATAAAAGGTCACAATTCCTGGACCATTTTCCCCATGCTAATGAGACCAAAGAGTCGGGGGAAAATTCTCCTCGCCAATAATCGTGCAACATCTAAACCGAGAATAATACCAAACTACCTGAACGATCCCGAGGACGTGAGAATAATTGTAAAAGGAATAAGAGCTGCTATTGAGGTGAGCAAGACGAGTGCAATGAAAAAATTTGGAACAAAATTATACGATACACCAGTTATGGGCTGCGAGAAGTTCAAGTACGATTCTGATGAATATTGGGAATGTGCAACAAGGACCTTCACCTTCACTATTTATCACCATTCTGGTACATGTAAAATGGGCCCTGAAAATGATACCAAAGCTGTTGTTAATCCCCGATTGCAAGTAGGTATTTCTTTTTCAATAAAATTATCCACGTTCAAAAATATTTATAAAAATTTATATACAAATGCAATTCTAATTAACGTCATTTTTAATTATTTACTTCCCAAGAGTTTTTTTTTAATTTGAATATAAGTATTTAAAAAAGCATTAATAAAAACGTAATTGCTCTTTTTGTCCTGACAATTTACATGAATTATTGCTTATAAATTATATGGATCTGAATTAGCCAATAAAATCCCAGCAAATGAAAACATTAATTTTTAAAGAGAGAAAGAGAGAGACAAATAAAAATTTCACTGAAATCAAGGTGTACAAAATTTTAAGCGCACATAAATTATCGTCCTGAAATAATTGGATGTAACCAGCCTCAATGGAATATCCTTGACACAAAAAAAAGATCATCTAGATTTTCAAAATCCGGTACAAAAAAATATGGCAAAATTTACATTTTACGAAATTTTTGATTTATGATATTTTATTTGCATTATTGATAAATATTTATAATAAGTAGCTAATAAATATTACCCTAAATATAAAATTGTAAAAAAACTCTAGTATAAAATTTCCAATGTTAAACAAATTAAATCTAAAATATAATTAAATTTAATTTAATTTTAAATTAAATTAAATCTTCTGTTTGTCTTTTTGTATTTTTATTTTTACTTTTTTTTATTTTATTATACTTCACTAATCGAATACTGCATTGAAAAAAATTTATCTGATTCAAATAAATGATTACTTGGACGGAAAGAAAATAAATATTAAATTTCATAAAAATATTTTTAAATTTGGAGAAAAAGAGCGAAAAAACAAAATTTTTTTTCTATAAAAAATACGGTATCAGGACAAGAGGTCCAAAAAAAATGTCCAAACCAAGAAAACCAAAGTAAATAAAATCCAAAAAAGTAAAAAAAATTGAGATACAAAAAATTAAATGGTTGCCTTGAATAAAATTGTCCTCTTTTTAAAAAAAATTTTATAGAATAATTGAAATTCTTCTAGAAATTTTTTTATTTATGAAAATAATTGAATTTTTGTGAAGAATTTTTTTATTTTTGAAAATAATTGAATTTTATCAAAATTGTTGAAAATAATTGTATTTCTTGGAATAATTGTTTTAAAAATTTAATAGAATAATTAAAATTCTTCTAAAATCTAGTGTTAAATTAATTTAAGTTATTTATGTTAAAGATTCGAAGAAAATATTTATGTACGGGAAATGTAAAAGGCCGAAAGGTCATACATATGAATCCAATAAAATAAAAAAAATAAAATAAAATAAAAAATTCTTCTAAAAATTTTTTTATTTATGAAAATAATTGAATTTTTGTGAAGAATTTTTTTATTTTTTAAAATAATTGAATTTTTGTAAAGAATTTTATCAAAATTGTTAAAAATAATTGTATTTCTTGGAATAATTGTTTTAAAAATTTAATAGAATAATTAAAATTCTTCTAGAAATTTTTTTATTTATGAAAATATTTGAATTTTTGTGAAGAATTTTTTTATTTTTGAAAATAATTGAATTTTTGTAAAGAATTTGTTTCAAAATTGTTTGTTTTCAAAATTGTTGAAAATAATTCTATTTCTTGGAATAATTGTTTTAAAAATTTTACAGAATAATTAAAATTCTAGAAATTTTTTTATTTATGAAAATAATTGAATTTTTGTGAAGAATTTTTTTATTTTTGAAAATAATTGAATTTTTGTAAAGAATTTTATCAAAATTGTTGAAAATAATTATTGTATTTCTTGGAATAATTGTTTTAAAAATTTTATAGAATAATTAAAATTCTTCTAAAAATTTTTTTATTTATGAAAATAGTTAAATTTTTATTAAGAATTTTTTTATTTTTAAAAATAATTAAATTTTTGTAGAGAATTTTATTATTTATGTAAGTAATTACGATTTTATAGTGTAAAAGTAAAAACGTGGCTTTTTCACATGTTTAATTATATTTATTTTGGACATTTTTATTTATTTTTAATTTTTTGACTTTTGTACATTTTTATTTTTGATTTTTTGTACTTTGGACATTTTTTTTCTTAGACTTTTCGGTCTGGATTTCTTAAATTGGATTTTTTGGCCTGTAATCAAAATATACTGAACATTAAAAAAACTTAAATTTTTCCCCAAAATAAAAAACTTTTGTAAATTTTAATATTTTATTTCTTTTCGTGTATCTATTGTCAAATAAAGATTTATTTGTAACAAATTATTTTTATTTAAGTGAATTAAATGTTTTTTCTATAAAATAACCCTCTAATAATAATAAATAATTAAAAAAAAAATATAATAAAAAATTATTTGATTCAAGTAAATATTTATTTGATAACAGACAATTTGATAATTATTTAATAATTTTCATTTAAGTCAATTAACTGGTTCTTTATAAAATAATAAGTTTTTAATTTATAAAACACAAATAAATTGTTTTAAATATTAAAATTATTGGTTCACATAAATATTTACTTGATTTAAATAAATATCATTTGACTCTAGTAAATATTTAGAAAAGTAATCGATTATTTCAATCAATTAAATATTTTTTCAATGTATTCAATTCAACAATTTTTCTTATATTAAATTTAAATTTAAATTTTAAATTAAACAACAATTAAAAACATTTTAAGGAAAAATTTGTTAAACAGTCAGAACAAAATTTAATCCAATGTCGTAATATCGTATTTTTAAGTTAGAATTCAACAAACAATCGAAAAAAAATTATTTGATTTCAATAATTCATTACTTGTATATTATCAAATAAATATCTGCTTGAATCAAATAATTTTTAATTAAATCAATTAAATTTAATTTGAACCAATAATTTTAGTATTTGAACCAAATACTGAAGCAAATTTAAATTTAAATAAAAATTATCTTATAACAATAAATATTTATTTGAGAATTAACAAGTAATTGGTTATTTCAATCGAATAAATTTTTACCTAAATCAATTAAATTTTCCTTGAATTTATTTTTGTGGAACCAATAATTTCAGCATTTAAAGCAAATACCATTCAATTGACTTATAAATAAAAATTATTTAAATACTATTAAATATTATTTAAATATTTATAATAAATAGAAATTTATTTAATATAATGTGAAATTAATCGTTTATTTAAATTAAATAATTTTTTTCAGTATAAATTATAAATTTTTAAAAATTAAATTCCTTACCCTCCCATCAAAACGAATTTAAAATCTAATTTCTCTTTTTCTGTAAAAATACGAAATTATGACACTTGACTAACTTTTCTTTTGACTGTTCGTCAAATTCTTCACAAAAAAAATAAAAATTAAATTTTAAACTCGTTAATAATTTCTATAGTAAAATTTACTAATTGAAAAGCAAAATATCATTCTCTAATTCAAATTAGTAAATATTTTTACTAATTCAAATTTAGGGAGTAATAATTTATAATAAATTACTAATAAATTTTACTCCAAATTGAATTCTCTACATAAAATTTTTTTGAAATATAATTCTTCATGTACACATAATGTTTTCGTAATTAAAAAATTCGTAATGATTGAATTATTTTTTTTTAATGATTGACAGTAAATAATTTTCCCATCAACTTTTATAAATTATGCTCCGGTTAAAAATTATCAATATCTTTTTTTCGAAGCTTCAAAAAATGATGTTATACCTTACATTTATGATTGAAGGTTAAACAACTTTTTTTAACTCATACACTCATTACTCGCTCGGCTTAATTACTTTCCTGTTGCAATTGAGTTGAAATTTCACGAACGAACACTTTGATGATAAATTATAAACAGTATATTCGAATTTTCAAACTAACCTCGCTATATAGAATATTGCCAAAACTAACCATTAGCTTCTTAAAATTAGATTGAAAATAGTAACAAAATTTTTTAATTGAATCTTTGTTCATAATTTTCAGGTCTATGGCATCAAAGGTTTGAGAGTTGTGGACGCTTCTATAATGCCAGACATCATAACAGGACATACGAATATTCCAACAATAATGATTGCTGAAAAAGCAGCGGATATGATAAAAGAAGATTGGGGCTATCCAATTGAATAAGTATATAATGATCAGTATTAATTAATATCAGAATTAATTTATTAATTAATTCATACCCGCATTAATTAATACTGAAAAATTAATTTTAAACTATGCGTTTTTCTTTTTTTTTACAAACATTTTTTTTAAACTGTTATTTAAAAAAAATACAAGACTGATGTTTACTAAGAAAAAAAATTGTAGAAAAATAATTAAATGTAGTTTTTTTTAAGATATAGTGAATTTATTGATGATTATAGTTATACTTGAAAGAATCAAATTGCAATCAAATCGGTACCAAACATGTGGATAATGAAAAATTTGTAACAAAATTTAATTAAAATATTTGGTATCAAATTTGATTTGAATTTTAGTGTAAAATTTGATACTTTCAAGAAAACTCTTTATGAACTATGGCCCTAAAATTTCAAACATTCAAACGAACGAAATTATTGTTTTAAAACTTTCGTTGAATTTTATTAGAAAATATTTTTTTAAATTTACAACATTATTTCTTACTTAGTAAAAATGTAATTAGTAAAAATGTTTACTAATTTCAATTAGTGCCTGACTTTTTGCTTCTGAGTTAGAAAATTTGACTAATAAATAGAAATTTTTATTTATTAGTCAAATTTACTAATAAATAATAATTTCTACTAATTAATTAGTAAAATTTACTAATAAATGACAATTTTTACTAATAAATAGTAATTTTTACTAATTTATTAGTAAGATTTACAAATTTAAAAGCAAAAAGTCAATCACTAATTTAAATTAGTAAAATTCCTTACTAATCCAGATTTAAACAGTAACGAAAAAATTAAATAAAACAAATAAATGATAAACAAAAATAACAAATAATTAAACTTTGATTTTACATTTAGTTTTCGTAACTTTAGAAAAAAAAATATTTTAAAAATTTTAAATTATAATAAACGAAAAATAATTAATATAAAAATATTTCTGTAAAAAATAAAATAAACAATAATTCTTTTAAAAACAATTTTTACTTAAAAATAAAAAAAAAATAAATAAAAAACGAAAATAAAGAAAAAATAACCTGATTTTTTATATTTCGTTATAGTAATTTTATAAATATTTAATAACAATAAATATTCAAATAATTTATTCATTTGTACGTTCGAAACTTTAGGAAAATAACTGTTAATGAAAAAAACTTAAAATTATTTCTAGTGATAAGTAATTATTCTCGTGTAAAAAAAATAATTTTAATTTAAAAAAATAATTATTTTTATTTAAATTTGACATTTTTAAATTAATAATATTAGTTAATAGAGGAGACAATCTGTATATGCGAAAAAGAGTAAAACTCATAAATAATAGTGTGAATTTTAATATATCACGAAATGAATAATGTGCCTGATGAAAAAGTGTGAAATTTCAAGTTGGTAAATATCTTAAAAATATTCTTTTAAATGAATATTTCTTATAATGTACAGTAAACGAAGCGTTATTTATATTCCTCTACAAAAATCGTATTTTAAGTTCATCTGTGATTTTCTTTTGTATATAATTGCAATAATCAATTTTAGCTAATAAAACCTTTGATTAACCATAAAAATTTTTATTAAATTAAAAATTTTTCTCTGGGGTGTCAAATTTAATGTTTCATCTACAGATCAAAATTAAATCTTCTTCGATTTGCATTATAATTTAATTTTTACTTATAATTAGTACCATAATAAAACAAACAACATTTTTTCAAATTCATCATTTTTAAAATATTCATCTCTCGATGAATTACAAGTTTATGCATTTTATTATTTTGTAAACACCTCGAGAAATGAATTGCAGAAAAAAAAAGATTCTAGAAAGAAAAAAAAATCTCAATTAACTATAAAGAAAACATAAGAAAATTATTTGCTGATACATTGCTTATGAATATTTTAATCTGATCAAGGACGTCAGCTACTTTCGGATATAAAAAAGAAAAAATGAAAAATTTTATGCACCTTTTGATACAAGTGTATTGGTTAATAGACAGGTCTCATATATTTAAGATATAGGTTTTAAATATTGCAATATAAAAAATAAAAGAGACGTCAAAATGAGATTATTATGAAATATAAACATTAAGTATTTTTAAATATTCCAATTTCAAAATTTTCTCCAAATCTGAATTATAATTTACAAATAATATTAATAAATTCTAATTTATTATTGATCATCAAATAATTAATATAAGATAAGACAACCATTATTTTGTGACTCGAGTTCATTTCAATTTATACTCTAAATCAAAATTTCAGAATTAGGAAAAATTCAGTCCTAATTCTCTAAATAAAATAAAAATTTTTTTTAACAAATTCAGAAATAAAAAATTAAATTTTAAAATATTCGACATTAAAAATGTCCCTGGAGTTAGCGTTGATGCTTAGAATAGAAATTTTTTTTGTTTTTAGAGATGAAAATGTAACTAATTTTACTCCTTTCATTTACCTTGATAGTTAAAAATAAAACAAAATTTTTTTAACCCCAAAATCCATAAAAAAAAAATCGTTTTATTCCATTCATTTTTGCGAAAAAACTCTATTTGTCGCTGAGTGTCAAATTTAATTTAATTTAATTAGCGTCAACGCTAATATTAATATTAAATAGAGTATAAAAAAAAATAAAAATAAAAATTAAATTTATTATTAAACAATAATAATAATAATAATTTTTAAAAATTTTTTTATTATTAAATTGTCAAAATGAGATTGTATGATTTTATTTTTACTTATTAAAAATTAATTGACAAAAATTGTACTTGAATTAAGATTAATTTAATTAAATTTCATTGAATTAATTTTAATTTATTTAATTAATAATTAATTAATTATTATTATTTATTATTTTCTTGTGAAAAACATGAATTTATAATAATAATGATCATAAACGTTATGAATTTCATCGACAAAAAAAAATGAATCTCTTTTCGACAGGTTTAACTATATTAAATGCTTAATAATTAAAAATCAAGATCTCAAATCTTTATTATGAATTATTTGGATTTTAGTAACAAAATTAATTTCAAATAGTTTCAATTTTTTATTTTTTTTATTTCCATAAAAAAAGGTGTGTCTCTAATTCCACATACTTTTAAATTTTTTACATTTCCTTCACATGCATTGCAAATTATTTTGTCTAGTTCAATTTTTCTTCAAGAAAAAAGCAGAAAAAAGTAAAAAAATGTCTTTTAAAGAAAAAAAAATTACTAGATAGTTTAACATTCAATTGTAGAAAATTTCTACAATTGAATGTTAAACTAAAAAAATTAAAACTAAAACTAAAAAAACATGAGTGAACTTTACAACGTTTATAATTAACAATTGTAAAAACAAATATTTTCCAAGCAGGTTGAAAATAATATTAGTTATTTTTACTTTCAGTTTTAAATTTTAAATAGTTTCTTACATTTTCAAATTTTTTTTTTCATTTTAAACTTCACAACGTTTATAATTAACTATTGTAAAAAAAAATATTACTAAACAGTTGAAAATAATATTAGTTTTTTTTCAATTTTAGTTTTAAATAGTTTCTTACATTTTCAAATTTTAATTTTTTTTCACTTCAAACTTTACAACGTTTACAATAATTAACTACTGTAAAAGAAATATTTTTCAAGCAGTTGAAAATAATATTAGTTATTTTTACTTTTAGTTTTAAATAATTTCTTACATTTCCAAATTTTAATTTTTTTTCACTTCAAACTTTACAACGTTTACAATAATTAACTATTGCAAAAAAAAAAATGTTTTTCAGTTGAAAATAATATTAGTTATTTTTACTTTTAGTTTTAAATAATTTCTTACATTTTTAAATTTTTATTTTATTTATTTTATTTTTTTTTTAATTGATAATAATTCATACAGCCCATGATTATAAAAACTGTTAAATGGCGATATTTTTACAGTATATTACATTTATTTATTCGTAGAAAAAAATTAATAACTACATAATTAATATTTGTTTTTTATAAATTTCAAGAAACTTTGAAAAAAAAACACTTTTAGACGAAACTATATCAAAATTCATATATATGGAAAAATGGAAAAAATACTTATAAATAATTAATAAAAACAATTTAAAATTCATATGTGAAAATGAAAATAATTAATTAATTAATTTAATCAAAATTAAATTAATTTATTTATTTATTTAAAAATGTTATGAATTACACGAATTTAATAAAAATGTAAATTAAAATATAAAGTGATTTGAATAAATAATATCTTCTTCTTTAATTCGTTTATAATCGATTGGGCATTAGGAAAATTTTTCTTCATAAAAAAATTATAAATTTGCATGAGCAATAAATGCCAAGAGAAGGGGGACTTAATTATATATATATATATAAGAAAACCAGATTTGCATTAAATACAAAGTATAAAACTAGTTGACTTCAAAGATGTCAATTACTTACAAATTATCCAACAGAACGTAATTTAAAAACCTATGTTTCTTATTTATCTTCCTTTTTTATTTATTTTATTTTTTATCTATTTTTCCCTCGGTTTAAATTTTAAAAAATGTCACTAACTATCATAATTTTAATTTTGTCATCATCATCTTTCTCTTTTCTACAATCATCCGAAAGAATTCCACGATTTCTTAATTTGCAAAGTGTAAAAGAATTCATCAACGACGGTAATGAATTCGCCTCCAAAGAACTTGACGACATTACCCCGGAGTTAAATTCCGAATACGATTTCATAATCGTCGGTGCCGGAAGTGCGGGTGCAACTCTAGCAAATAGACTCAGTGAAATAGAAGACTCAACAATTCTCCTCCTCGAGGCAGGAAGAAGCGAAAGTTTAGCCATGGACATACCAATATTTCCCCATTTTCTCCAATTCAGCAACGACATCAACTGGAAATATCAAACCGAATCATCAGAAAAATACTGCCTGGCAATGAACAAGCACAAATGCAATTGGCCTCGAGGTAAAGTAATGGGTGGCAGTAGTGTCTTAAATTACATGATTGCCACAAGGGGAAATCCCAACGACTACAACACATGGTCAAGAATGGGAAACGAGGGTTGGAGCTTCGAGGACGTATTCCCTTACTTCAAGAAACTCGAAAACATGCAAATACCCGAATTGAGAAACAATAAATTAATGCACAATGTCAATGGACCAGTTGGCATTGACTATTCACGTTATCGTACCCCACTGGCAGATGCATTTATCACCGGAGGATTAAAAATGGGCTACAATATTCTCGACTACAACACAAATGATACAAATGGATTCGGCTATGTTCAGAGTACAACAAAAAATGGCGAACGAATGAGTACGAACCGTGCATACTTGCATCCTATTCGCGAAAGAAAAAATCTCTTCCTCTCTCGTGAATCCCTAGTGGAAAGAATCCTAATCAACAACAAGCAAGCAAAAGGTGTTAAATTCACAAAAAATAACAAATCCATAAAAGTTTATGCCAAGAAAGAAGTGATTATTTCCGCCGGTGCTATTGGTTCACCACAAATATTAATCCTCAGTGGCATTGGTCCTGAGGCACATCTCAAAGAACTAGGAATAGATTTAATAAAATCATCTCCAGTTGGTGAGAACCTAATGGATCATGTGTTTTACGGTGGTTTAATATTCACCGTCAATCAATCGAATCCCTTTCTTTTGGAAAATCTCATAAATCCATTTCTTCCCCATCTTGGAAATTATCTGGAAAAAAGAGATGGAGCATACACATCGCCAGGCGGTGTCGAGGCCGTTGCTTTTCTCGACGTCAATCGACCCGGTGACAGCACTAGTTTACCAAACGTCGAATTTTGTTTTTCTGCTGTGAGTTTAGCGGCAGCATCAAATGCCTATCGATTATACAATTTGTCCGAGGAATTCTTTCAAAAAGTGTACAAAAACATTCTTTCGCAATATACCTGGATGGTATTACCATTTGTTATGCAACCAAAGAGTAGAGGAAGGATACTTTTGAGAAATAAAATGGCAGGTAGTGAACCGAGAATAATTCCGAATTATTTTCAACATCCTGACGATATGGGACTGATGATAAAGGCAATAAGAATTATACTCGATATTAATGAGTCGGAGGAAATGAGAAAATTTGGATCTCAATTGCATGAGGTCCCCATACTTGGTTGTGAAAAATTACCATTTAATTCTGATCAATATTGGAATTGTGCGGTGAGAACTTTTACGAGTACTATTTATCATCCAGCTGGTACTTGTAAAATGGGTGCTGAATCTGATTCGACAGCGGTTGTTAATCCAAGACTACAGGTATAAATAACCACAAAAATTTGATTTTGTTTTTCTGACTTCCTAACAGATCTTTGATTCTTTTTCTTAATGCTTTTGTAAGAAAAAATATTAAACAGGTTTTTTTTTTCAACAGTACTGAAACGTTAGTTTAATAAATAGTAGCGACATTCAAAAAAAAGTAGTTAATGTATTAATATTAGGAAATATTATTAAAAATTACCTTTTATCTAACAGAAAATTTATTATCATACGACCTTTTCGTTAAAGATTTGAATTTGCATATTGCATTTGAAAATTTTTTAAATAGAAATTTTTTTGCAGGTAATCGGTATTAAGAATCTAAGAGTTGTCGATGCATCTATAATGCCGGAACTACCATCGGGACATACAAATATTCCCACGATAATGATTGCTGAGAAAGCAGCTGATATGATAAAGGAAGATTGGCACTATCCCACAGGAAAATGATAAAATTCTATTATTTGCTGTGTTAATTTGAAAGTGTATTTAAAAGATTCGTTTTTCCTAAGGTTATTAAATTGATACCAAATTGGATCAAATTGATAAATTTGATGAATTGATAAATTTGATCCAATTTGGTATGAATTTAATAACTTTAGGAAAACAGTATTTTTTAAATGAAATAATGTATTCTAATCATTTGTACATAGTCGAATAATATAATGAACATTGCGCATGAAAAATATAGTATACTACCTTCATTAATTAAATTTATTACACTGTAATTTTAATTGTACTAATTAAAATGAATTTCAAGGGGAAACATAAATTCTTTTGACAACAAAACATTTAGTTAATAGTATTAGTAAACCATATAAATTTTCAATGAACAATCAGGGTTGATACAAAAATTTAATTTTGCTTTTCCCTGACTTTTCCCTAAATTCCAGACAAAATTTTCACTTTTCCCTGTTCCTAAAGAATATTCTGATTCACACTCTTAAAATTATTAGAGACACAAAAAAATGTACCTACATTTATTTAATTTATTTGTAAAATTATTAGAAAACACCAATAACTCCTTTTTTAAATAAATATTTAATCATTATTATTATTTTTCCATATAGGAATTACAATTCTCAAAAATTTAAGAATATTTAATTTAATATTTAATATTTAATATTAAATTTATTTAATGTTTAATTTAAGAATATCTTTTAAGAATATTAAAAAAGAATGAAGAAATCGATTACTCCGAGTCGAAGACTCGGAGTGATCGATATCTTCATGTTTTCAATTCAATTATTATTTTCTACAATTTTTAAATAAAATTCTTCTTTAAATTAATTGTTTTTAATAATTTTTGAAAAAGTTCTTTGAGAATTTTCAAATTCATTGTTTACAATTCAATTTTACAAAATTCCATCGATTATTCGGAAATTCTTCAATTGTATATTAGAAAATAAAACCTTTAAATAATTTTTTAAAAAAAGTGCAATAAAACTTTTTCAAAAAAAATTTATTCTACATAATTGTTAGTTAAAAATATGAAAAATTCATATTTTCAAAGATTTTAATTTATAACCTTCTCAAAAATCAATTATTTTTAAAAATTCATGCCATAATGGTTTTAATTTATTATCTAAAATTTTAACTAAATTTCATTTCTAAATCAATTTTTATTAAAAAATTCTAAGAGAATTCAATTAAATACAAAAATAAATAATTTATTAAATAATTCAATTTTTCTTTGACAAATTTTAATAAAATTTTTAAGAATAGTTACATTTTTCAAGAAATTTGATTAAAATCGTATTAAAAAAAATTAAAATTCTGCGATGAGTTTTATTGTTTATGACAATAATCGAATTCATTTGCAGAATTTTATTAAAATTAAATAAATATTGAAAATCCTTGAATTAAGAAAAATTTTTGAAAAAATTAAGAAAAATAATTAAAATTTTGCCAAGAATTTTACTAAAATTTTTAAAAATAATTAAATTTCAGAGAAGAATTTTATTATTTACAAAGGTAATGGAAATTTTGACGAGAATTTTAAAAAAATTTTTTGAATGTAATTCAATTTCTGTGAAGAATTTTATTACTTTTGAAAATAATAGATTTTTCCAAAAAATTTTTCAAATAATTAAATTTGTGACAAGAATTTCATTAAAATGTTTAAAATTGTATTTAAAATAATTAAATTCCTCTCATGAACTTTATTAAAAGTTTTGAAAATAATTGAATTCTTATAAAAACTATAAAAATTTTTGAAAATAATTGAATTTTTCAAGGATTTAAATGAAAATTTTTTAAAATAATTGAATCTTGTAAAATTTTATTAAAATTGTAATGAAAATAATTGAATTGTATTCCTGTGAAATTTTAATTAAGTATGAAAATAATTAAATGTTTGCGTAGAATTTTATTAACATTTTTTTAAATAATTGAATTCCATTGAAAACTTTTATTAAAAAAGTAGATATTGAAAATCATTGACTTAAGTCAAATTTTTGAATATAATCGAAATTTTGACAAGAATTTTTAATTTAATTTTTGAAAATAATTGAATTTTTGAGAATAATTTTATTATCTATAAAGATAATTGAAATTTTGAAGAGAATTTTTTAATATTTTTCAACATAATTGAATTTTTGCAAAGAATTTTATTAATTTTGAAAATAATTGAATTTCTGTGAAATTTTTATTATTTACGAAAATCATTAAATATTTGCGTAGAATTTTATCAAAATTTCTTTCAAATAATTGAATTCTTTTGGAAGATTTTATTAAAATAGTAAATATTGAAAATGTGGAAAATTGAAATTGAAAAATCCTCATTGAAATGAGGAAAAGTTTGGAAAATAATTGAAAATTTGCCAAGAATTTTATTAAACTTATTTTTAAATAATTTAATTCTTTAGGAAAATTTTATAAAAATAAAATAAAAATAATTGAATCCCTGGAAAAAATGTTATAAATTTTAAAAATAAAAATCTTCGTTATATATTTTTACGACTATATATTGTTGCGTTACTTTTCAGTAAAATACTAATTGAAAATTCTTTTCCTTGACCAACATTGAGGATTCTATGAATCTATTCTTCGATCATCTGAAGCAAATATTTAGTTGAACCAAAAAAATGTTTGATAGCAATGTATTTATATGGTTAATTCAATCAATCAATTAATATTAATTGTTAAATAACAAATTTTAATTAAAAATCTTGAATAAAAAATTTGAATACCTATACTCAAATTTTAATATAAAAGCACAAACTTTGATTTGGAAGTTTGATTGAAAATAGTAAAAAAATTTGTTTGAAACAGAAACATTTTAAAACTGTCAATATAAGGAAAAGTTGAATAAAAATTTTCATTCTTATTTTCAAATCGGAAATTGACATAAAGAGAAAACTATTGACAAGTGACACCTTATTATTTAATGCGGAAGAACAAACTCAGCTATTAGGTCAACGATTCCAGAGAAACCTGTTATGTAAACCCGTTATGACTCTAAAACAATCTGCCTATATAATTTATTTAAAAACGTTATAATCGATTGTTTTACATTTGTCACAAGTAAATCACGCACTCGATAGAAAAAGAAAAAGGCGAAAAAAAAACCATACGAATTAAAAAATCTCTTTTCCTTAGTGTAATATTATTCCGCATATAAAAATGCTCCAGCATTTTTTATTTACTTAAAAAATAAAAAGTCTTAAATAAGAGGTACAATTTTAAAGGAAATAAAGTTATTTGCACTTGAGAAAGTGTAAATAGTAAGTACGTTCACTTTTTTAAAAACAGTTTCAGAAATAAAACTTAAAAACTTTTTAAACTTGGAAACAATTTAGTGGCAGATGGTAAATGGAGGAAGGTGAGTTACATGCTGAATAAACCTTTCACCAATAGATGTCTCGTGAAGTCGCGAAATCAACAGAGAGAATTTAATTTACTTTTATTGTGGTACTTCAAAAAATACGTCAATATTTTTTATCGAAATGTCGAGGGAGTCTTAAATTATTTAAGTTGACTTTGCGTAGAATTTAGTCGCACTTATTTTCTACTTGATGTGAAATTAATTCTTTTTTGCAAGCAGCTTGAAATTAATTATTCGAATTATTTATTTACCGAAATAAATTGATTTAAATTAAATTATCTATTGCTTGACTCATACCAAATATTTATATGATTTGTGAAAAGTCGTCCACTAATTCAAATTAGTCAAATTTTCTACTAATTTTTAATAAAGTTTTACTATTTTATTTAGCAGTTTTAAATTTTTTACTAAACTTTTAGAGGAAAGTTACTAAGAATTAGTAGAAATTTTTACTAATTTAAATTAGTGGACGATTTTTTACTAATTCAGATTTAGAATGACTAAATTTAGATTTACTATTCAGATCTGTTACATTAAAAGTCGATAGAATAGTTTAAAATTTTCAACAAATCATTTAGTGATTCATATGATTTCTAGAATTTTCAACTAAAATTCTTCTTTAAGTCAATTTTTAAAAAATAATTTTTGAAAAAGTTCTTTGTGAATTTTCAAATTCTTTTTTTTACAATTTAATTTTATGACATTTTGATTATTCTGACATTCTTCAATTAAATAAATTGGAAATTAAAAACTTCAAATAATTAAAAAAAAGTCCATTAAACTTTTTGAGAAAAATTAATTCTACAGAATTCTTAATTAAAAGTATGAAAAGTTCAAATTTTCAAAGATTTTAATTTGAAATTCATTTTTAAATCAACATTTATTAGAAAATTCTATGAGAATCCAATTATCTAACTACAAAAATAAATATTTTATTAAGAAATTGAATGTTTCTTAAAATTGAATTCCCGCACAAAGAATTTTATCCACAAATTTTTAAATAATTCAATTCTCTTGGCAAATTTTAATAAAATTTTTAAAAATAATTTCATTTTTCGAGAAATTTTATGAAAATTGTATTAAAAATAATTGAAATTTTATTAAAAATTTTTTACAATTCATTTTTACCAAAATTCGATTAATCAGAAATTCTTCAATTAAAAATATTTTAGAAAAGAAAAACTTTAAACAATTCACAAAAAAATTCAATTAAACTTTTTCAAAAAAAAGTTAATACTACAGAATTGTTAGTTAAAAGTACGAAAAATTAGGATTTTCAATAATTTTAATTAAAAACTTTTTCAAAATTCAATTATTTCTAAAAATTCACGCTATAAAATTTTCAATATTCAATTATTTATGAAAAAAATTAAATATTTGTGTGGAATTTTATTTAAATTTTTTTTAAACATTTCTTTTAATTTTTAAATGAATGAATTCTTGTGGAAATTTTTTATAAAAATGATAAATGTAGATATTAAAAGTCATTGAATTGAGAGAAAATTTTGAAAATAATTGAAATTTAGCCAAGAATTTTATTTAATTTTTTGAAAAGAATTTAATTTTTGGAAGAATTTTATTAATTATAAAGATAATTGAATTTTTACGAGAATTAACAAAAATTTTGAACATAAATGAATTTCTGTGAAGAATTTCGAAACTTGTAGCAAAGGTTTTTAAAATAATTGAATTTCTTTGATAAATTTCAATAAAATTTTTAAGAATAATAACTTTTTTCAAGGAATTTACTTAAAATTGCATTTAAAATAATTGAAATTTCAGCATTGAGTTTTACTATTTATGAAAATAATTGAATCCCTGTAAAAAAAAAAGTGTTATTATTTATGAAAATAATTTATAAATAATTGAATTTATGTAAAATTTTTATTATTTATGAAAATAATGAAATGTTTGCGTAGAATTTTATTAAAAAATTTTTTATCTAATTGATTTCTTTTAAGAA